GCCTATGAAATGGCCACTCCGGTCTGCGCACTCCCGTTTGACCCAGACGAGTGGGAGTGGAAAAGCAGCAAACGCATACCGATCTGGCAATACACGGTGCGAGGTGGATACAAACAAGCTCATAAACTTCATACCTCCTCTACGGTGGTGCAAAACCGGTGGAAAAGGAACTCGCCGCTGCATGAAAGGGAACTGCAACAGATTCCGTGGCTGACCTATGCTCATATAATGCGTACATCACACAGGGCCCTGCAATGGCAGATAACTCATCGCTGCCTCACAACGCTGGACTGGGTAACAACGCGCACTAATTTGGAACAAGAACGAATATTGTCCCCTATCTGCTCCCATTGTGGGGATGGTGCACAGCGCAGAAGGGCAGACCTGGAACACTGCCTATTGGCATGTCCAATGGCACTACAGGTGTGGCAATGGTGGGACTCAATGTGGCATGAACTCACTGCCTCGCCATTCCCATGGAATTGAGCCCTCATCCTACTGGGGAAAAGGAAAAACTTTCTGCCTGCCTGGTCACCCCTCTGGGCAAACCTCTTTAAACATGAGGCTTGCCGTACTTATGGTCATATGGAGAATGAGGTGCTCAGTAGAACGGAGAGAAGTCTCCTTTGGCTTTCATCAGGCTAAAGTGGAACTTCTCGAGACGATCCGAGCGAACCTACTGAAAGCTAGTAGAAAACTAGTGGAAGTGGTGTCGGCAACCTCAGACCACGTGGACAAACAAAGAGTGATCACGATCTTTTCACAAAAATGGATAGATCCGAACCACAAAATGGCTGAGGTGCAAAGTGATGGTAAGTTAACATGGAAAAATTGGACCGAACCACAAAATGGCTGAGGTGCAAAGTGATGGTAAGTTAACATGGAAAAATTGGGCGGCAGAGGACCATCGTTGGAAATACAGACCAACTAAGTGCTTTCCTGCACCTCTCCCCGGGCACCCAGAACGAACACTAGATGACGTGCCTGTGAGCAACGGGGAGCAGGACCCACCCCACGACGTTGGGGCCTGCGACTCGCTTCCAACATCTTC